TGAAATATAGGTTTATCTCCTAATGATCTCGGTTCCTTTCGATATTGGCATATATCGCACCTTAACGTCATGGATTTTGGCCCCTGGTTGTACGAAAAATCATGTTTTTATCTTGTGGACACTCTACAGGTCACAATTTTTATTCGATTTTGACGAAACTTGAAATACATGTCTCCCTTTATCTCCCAAAGATTTCGCTTCCTTTTGATATTGGCAAGTATCGCACCGTAACTGTATGGATTTTGACCCCTTATTGAAAAATCATGATTTTAGCTGATTTTGATGAAACGTAAAATGTATGTTTATAACCCAAAGATCTCAGTTTCTTTCGATATCCGCGCATGCAGGACAGTAACTACGTAGCTTATAGGCTCCTACTTGTACGAACAATTGCGTTTTTAGCACGTGGTCACTCTAGTGGTCACAATGTTTATCCGATTTTAAAAACCGTTCAGATATATCACCGTTACACTCTCACAATGGTTGGGTTCAAATTGCGTGAAAATCGGACCAAAACTGCCTGACAAAATGGCCGCTCCTCGTACTCAAATAGTATAAAAGTGTTTAAAACCAAGGTTATGGCTCCGCTAGAGGTCACAATTTTTATCCTATTTCAATGAAACTTAAAATATATGTTTACATCCCAAAAATCGCGGCTCCTTTCGATATTCGCACATCGGAACTTAACCCCATCAATTATGGTCTTTGGGTGTACAAAAAAAGTCGCGTTTTTAGCTTGTGAATCTCTAGACGTCAGAAATTTCATCTCATTTTAAAAACCGTTCACAGATATCACCGTTACACCCTAATACCAAGGTTGTGAACCTTCTATAGGTCGCAATTTTTATCCGATTTTGATGGAACTTGAAATACATATGATCTCGGTTGCTTTTCGTATTCGCTCATATCGGACCGTACCTTCATGGCTTACGGACCCTGATTGTAAGAAAAATTGCTTTTTTTAGCTTGTGTAACCTCTTGAGGTCACAATTTTATCCAATTTTGATGAAACTTAGAATATATGTTTATATCCCAAAGATCTTAGTTTCTTTCGATACTCTCGTAACTTCATGGATTGTGACACTGATTGTCCGGAAAATCGCCTTTTTATAGCTCGTTCTCTGTCCATCTCTTGCAAAATGTGGGCCTATCTTGCATGACAACCACTTGTTTTCTTTTTCTTGGTCGCTGCAATATTTAATCATGTGGCGTGAAAGCTGATGCATTCAACTGGTGAATCGGGCGGAGAATTCGCCTAGTTCACTCATTCTGCTGCATTTCGGTGCCGATTGATTCGGCCGAATGATTCGGGAGGAAATTCGCCTAGCGTGTCTGTCGCTTTAGGACCAATTAAACAACCCCAACTGTGAGCAGTGATATAGACAATGACGATACAGCTTATACGGGTCCATTTACATTTCATCTATGGGCTCCTTGAGTTTTGCTGCAAATGTCAACATCAGTGACACTGATCGGATATCAGAATAGACTCATCTGGTAACAAAGACGTGTTATAATGTACGGTATTAATATCAGGGTAAAGTCCTCTAATAATAAAGACATGTCTTATTCTGGGTTATAATGTGACTGGTCAGATTTCAAAGTAGACTTATCCAATAACAAAGACATATAATCTAAAGTTTGGGGCCATTTTAAACATTAACTCCCATGTTGCTTGGTACGCCACATACTCCTCACAGTGTTTCGTTTGATTAGACCTATCAAACTCAGACACTGCTGTAATAACCTCAAATTTCTCTTCCAAAATATGACTGATCAACAGTCGGATCAACAACCAATACATTACAGCTTAACAAAATGATTCCGGTTTAAATAGAGCTCCACATATGTTTATATTACATTAGGTCATTTCTCACGAAATGTGTTATGCTCCACTAACCAGTGCATAGCAGAATATTGCAGAAAAAAACTAATTGTATGACAAACGAGGCTATCGAAAACGCTTTCAGTGTAAACAATGGGTAATGACCAATATAAACAAACACCAGGAGACGAACAACATGTTCACCGTTTTTAATACATTAAATCACTGTCTAAAGTTTTAGGGAAGACCCCAGATTAAACGAAGGGCTGTCCATGTTGCTATACTTGGGATAGATTTGATTGAACGGTAAGAATAGACACACCCCCTCAAAAGTTCAAGTATCAGAAGCCAATCCAGCAATGGCCAGAGGGGAATTTCTCGGGCCATTGCTTCAGGAATATGGGCACGCCGAGAAATGGGCTTTAAAATACACACAAGTCACCCAGATACTTTGTTTGCAGGCCAACTGACTTGCGCACATTAGATTTCGGTATTGGCTACTGATAAAACGGTGTGGCGGACTCAGGCTGGAATAAAAAAACGGCCACCACCAACTCTACTGTACATTTATTTAAAATATTGATTAAAGACAGAATGAAGACAAATAAACTTAGGATTGCGAAGTCAATTTTTATATTTACGTACATGTACTATTAACCAACAACCTTTCATTGAGAAAACAGGTGATATACACGGCTACACAAGGATTAAGGGTGCCAAATTTCATGTCGATCCTACTTTAATTCCCGGAGCCTTGGGCTATTTGCGAACATGGTTGCCCACAAGAACAACAAGAATAGAACAGCGCTTGGGGACCAGTTCCTAGACCAATAAAAGACACAATTTAATGAGTATTAACCGATGTTACTGGTCAATAACATTACGTGTTCACTTCAGTTTACTGTTTCTCGTTTTGTTCAATGCAATGTCGGGATTTTTAGAGGCGTTCTCCCCTTGTCAGTGGTGCAAGACGGAGGGACTGACAAAGGCAGCTGTCTAGTCGTTCGGATAAGACAAAAAAAACACAAAGTCCCGAGAACACATTGGCATGCACGAAAAAGATCCCTTGGCAGTTGGAATTCGATATAAGAGTAGGTCGTATCGCCGCTGTCCGGCCAGATTTCCCTCATAGCACACTGTATGGCGTATGCACTGTAGAAAACTAATGCACCTGTTTTGGGTGTGTTCACTATAACAAACCAAACAGTTTAATATAAATTCATAACCAGTTTTTCTAAATGGTGATATTTAGTACCGGATTTAATCATGAAATTGGGCAATGGCGATTGTATTATTATGTTAAAAACATTCTAGTACATACCATATTTTTGTAGACGGGTCCATTACATCCAGGAAAACTAGTTAGTTTATTAGTTCCCTACCAGTGAAATCGGTAGGCTATAGGTTTTCTCTCGGCCCGTTTGTCTTGTTTATACGCCCACACTTTCATATGGACGTATTACGCCGTCGCCCCTGCCCGTTCGGACGTCCGCAATTTGTTTGTGGACGCTTTACAGGTCACAATTTTTTTTTCCAATTTTGACGAAACTTGAATTATAGGTCTACTTCCCAAAGAGTTCGAATTTCGTGAAAATCGAACCAAAACTGCTGGACAAAATGGCCGTCCCACGTACGCAAATAGTGCAAAATTGTGGTATATCAGTGCCGTGAACCCTGTAGAGGCTACAATATTTTGATCGAATTTTGATGAAACTTTACATATATGTTTATATTTCAAAGATTTGGGTTTCTTTCGATAATCGCGCAAATCCTAACTTAGCTTCCTGGATTATGCCCCCTGATTATTCGAAAAACCGCATTTTTAGCTTCTCGATCCGCTAGAAGTCAGAATTTGTATTCAATTTAAAAAAAGAAAACGCTTCAGTATATCACCGGTACATATCAATGAAGGTTGAGTTTGAATTTCGTAAAAATCTGACCGAAACTACCGGACAAAATGGCCACTTCTTGTACGCAAATAGTGTAAAGATATGTAATACCAAGGTTGTGGACACTCTAGAAGTCACAATTTTTATCCGATTTAATGAAACTTGAAAAGTATGTTTATAATCCACAGATCCTGTTTCCTTTCAACAGTTGCGCATATCGGACCGTAACTTCCTGGATTATGGCCCCTGATTGTACAAAAAATCGTGTTTTTAGCTTGTGGAACCTCTAGAGGTCACCGTTTTTATCCGATTTTACAAAAAATTTAAATGTATCACCGTTACGCCCTAATGACGGTTAAGTTCGAATTTCGTAAAAATCGGGCCGAAACTGCTCGACAAAATGGTTGCACCTTCACCGCTAATAGCGTAAAAGTATGTAACACTAAGGTTGTGGACCCACTAGAGGTAACAATCTTTATTCGGTTTTAATGAAACTTGAAATATATATTTATGTCACAAAAATCTCGGTTCCTTTCGATATTCGTGGATATCAGACTATGACATCCTTGATTATTGCCTCTGATTGTAGCGTGTGGATCCTCTAGATGTCACAATTTTTATCCGATGTTAAAACCGTTTAATTAAATCACCGTTACACCATAATAAAGGTTGGGTTCAAATTCCGGGAAAATAGAAACGATTATGGGCCCCCGATTATATGAAAAATCACGTTTTTGTTTTAACTTGTTCTCTATCAATCTCTTGCAAAATGTGGGCGTATTCTGCCCGACAACCGCTGGTTATTTTGCGGAATAAATCAAAATTTAGCTCTCAGATATTTGAATGAAAATTTGTTTTTGTACACGACTTAATTACAACAACGTACTCCCATGTTTCTTAAAACGACATCGGGTTTACTTACACGATTATAACTATCTAAGAATATAATGAATGATACATGGACAACACTTCGTTGGCCTTGCCTCGGCACTTTATTTGTGCGGATTGCCATATATAACACAATTATTATTATAGAGAAACATAATAAGAGTATATCATAAGGTCCAGTACAATGACTGTTAAAGTAAAACATAAATATGTTAACTCTATGAACTTCTCAATCGGGAATCATGTTTCCTCGTGGCTACTCTTTATAGAGCCAAACATGTACCCTAATCTAAAATGTAATTTTTTGTGTATTTTAGGTGTTGTATAACGATTACTATATTCCACTAAATATGCCGAATTATTTGAAAGGCATTGGACTGGGCGATATGGTGGGACCATACAATTTTCCTCAAACAGTCGTGGTTATCCAGGAGAATTATGTCAACGACGGTTTTTTGGAAGGGTTCATGTCACGACAGCCTGTTGATCAAGAAGAAAACCTTGTATGGAAATCAGTCAATGTTGAAATAACAGATATCGAGGTAAATATGCACAGTTCTGTATTTCATCTAATACAAAGGTTATTTCTAGTAAAATAAATCGCACCAATAATATACGTGACATTTTGCAGATTATAAAATGGAATTACCGTGTGAGATAGACATCTTGCATTACTATTATCCCGCCCCGAATAGCATAACTCCTAACTTTTCAAGATATATTTATGAAACAGTGTACACATATCAACCTATTATAATAGTTATACCTTTTGCTAATTATAACTTTAATGGTTTTGATATTTTTGTGTTTCCATGGAAACAAATTTGATGATTTGGTATAAAGGGGCGCTGGATATTGATGGCGACTTTCTTTGTTACCTTTAGTATGTGTTAAAATCTGTTGTTATCTGCCGCTGAACTAATACTTATGTGTACAGATTTTAATGTGGTTGTATACTGCTGTCATCTGTCATCTATCCACAATATTTCATGTTAACACACCAGTGTTGAGCGAGTTGCCGTTCTAATATAAGCTTATTAATTTTCAACGATTTCCGAAGTTTATTTAAAGTTATGCCGCTTTGCAACAAAAGGCTTGTACACGTGTTAACTCGATTGTTATAGAATCTTTCAGGCGTTTGTGTAGGCTACCTGACTTTCCATTATCGGTTTTGTTTTTTGGACATTGTATGTGACTATTGATCGGTTGCGTTTATTGATTAGCCTTGCTTTATATGACGAAAAAGAATGTTGATTTTCAAATATTTCCGACGTTAACTTTCATACTAATGCCCCTTTGGTACGGAACCTTAACGGACAATGCAGGTATCCACCATGTATAACGACCTTTACTACGGTTGATCCGTAACAAAGATTTGAAGAGCTACGCAGATGTTTTCAACTCACCTTTAATTTCTGTGAAGACGAGGAATTTTTATATGGGATTATGAGAAGATATCAGATCGAAACCACCAGTTCTTAATAAGAAAAATATAATCGGGAAAAAGTCATATAGTTATTATATATTTCAAATACTTCGCCACGTGGATTACAAATCGCAATTCGGATCGTGCACTAAAACGGCAAATACTGCATTCATATCAATTTCTCGCCCGAGTAAACCTTCTTGCAAATCGTGTACGATATTCACTGAAGAATTGATCTCTTTGGCTTTTGTCTACTTCTGGTCATTTTATCATCAGTTTTGTAAACCGTTGTCTCGCCGAACTAATCACTAAAGGTGTCAACAGTAAATGATAAAATCGACCCTATGATAGGTTTTATATATTCCGAAGTAGTAGACGATTTCTATGTATTTCAAAGAATAATATAATTGCTTAACATACGGCAGCCACGTAGATTTATTTACGGGGCATTTTTAATGATAAAATCGACCCTATGATAGGTTTTATATATTCCGAAGTAGTAGACGATTTCTATGTATTTCAAAGAATAATGTAATTGCTTAGCATACGGCAACCACGTAGATTTATTTACGGGGCATTTTTATTGGATTTAAAGTGGTGGCCCCGGTATGAAAAATAGACCTGTTCATGTTCGCGGGGATGGAGGCGACGGTGGGAAAATGTTTTTATTCTGACATATTTCTCCCGTCCTGTAACCAGATTTTGTAAAAATAAATACAGGACCAACGCCATGAAAAAATTGTTTTTGACTATTTCAATCTTGATATTACTGTAACATTTTGGGGTAGTTATGACGTACATATATTAGATACCATAATGTTTTTCAGTTGAACGTTGAAGTTCCAGGATATGAAAAGTCCGCAAAATCATGCCCATAAGTACATATCTGTGTATGGTGTGCTTAAGACTTTACGTGAATTTGGTCTACCTACCACGAGTAATTCCTTTTGACAATTTTCTAATATGTATCACCCTTTTTTTCAGGTGGAGTATTTATTAACGGAGTTGTCAATAACCGGTTGGAAAATTCTTGTACTTCACATGGATCCGCATTGGATGATACGGATAGTCAGAAAATCTTTGGACATGAACTTATTTCGTGCTGGCTATGCCTGGTTTCTCAGTGATAAAACATTTATTGACGAGCCTTCGGTGGTTCAAAATCTACCAGAGGGTCTCTTAGCTTTAACTAACTTTCACCTGACTGGATCAAAAGGAGTATTGTCAAATGTTTTCCGCTTTTTATCACAAGCGTGCCTTTGTGTTGACTTTCTTAAGTCATCTGGTATAAGTCCTAATTTATTTGAACCGACCAGTTCTTCGGTTGATACCAGTGATACTTTTATATTTTCTAAACCCGAACTTTTTAGGTACGTATATATCAATCTTTGGAAATATGCACACCCTGTAAAATCTCATTGAACGAATAAAAGACGAAGGCGAATTCCTCCATTGAAGAGGACCCTGTTTGTCCATTAAAGAGAATGCTCGTGAGCGAGAAACAATCCGTATTACGAGTGCGATTACATTTTATCGAATGCCCTGCAAAATGTGTCAGTAAATATATGGGTTCATTGTTGTAAATTAAGATAAATTGGATTTTATCTTTTCAGTGTGCACTTAATCAGATTAACTATTTATTAGTGAGTACAGGGGTGGCCGCACCACACATAAACAAATGAAATGAAATGGGGTTTAACGTCCAACTCTTCTGCACCTAACCTGGGCTAATTGAAGACGGGCATACGCCATACAGTGTGAAATGAGGGAAATTTTGCCCGGGCAGCGGCGCTACGGCCTACTCTTATATCGAATTCCAACTGCCAAGGGATCTTTTACGTGCACGCCAATGTGTACACGGGACCTCGGTTTTTCGTCCCATCCGAACGACTAGGCAGCTGTCCTTGTCAGGCCCTCCGTTCTGCATCACTGACAAGGGGAAACCACGGCCAATGCACGGATCGAACACCCGACCTCCAGACACACATAAACAAAAACTCGTAACGCGACAAGACGCGCAATATATACAGACTTTGCAAGCAATAAACAACAAACATATATATCAAATCAAGTGAATGGATCCGGGGCCAGTCCACTTCACTGTACAGTTCTGGACCTGTAGTGATACAGGCTTCATTCAAAAGAGAACAAATTAACAGTAAGTGGGACAGGCCTTGAATATTGGCAAACATTTGCGTGCGTAAACGTTAAACCTGTCTATTTAAATCTTAACGACAAAAGTAAAGTAGCAATGTTGTTATTAATTCGTAATATCAATCATGTTCAACCCTGGCATGGAGTAAAAACTTCAGCTATATATGTGAACTCCTCAGATGAGAAGTAATATGGCTGCTGAGTAAAAGATAACCCCGCGTCATTAACAGACACCGGCGCAGTGATTATTATACAAACGCATAATACAATTTAAAAGACATTTTTAGAGCCATACGCCTTGCCGTATATTTCACACTCCAACAGTTATTAATGTTTGAAGACTCGAGGGCTTCAATTAGTTGGCCAACAAAATGGCGCATGTGGATAGTAAGCGAAGCTAACGAGACCTAAACACGAGGTAATATTCCGGATAGTTCCATGTGGCGAAGCTTAAAACTAGGAATGGTTAAATTAATATATTATAATATATTTAACGATTGTTATGGCGACAGGCGAAATTAATCTCAATTGAATAACCCATTGCTACTTTAAATATGGCAAGCACGGATTAACGCACAAGAGTTCAAATCCGACCACTCTTGCAAAATGAATCGCAATGTTAAAACTTAATAATTCATGTCCACAGTTTTATAGATTCTTGGTCATATCACTGGATATTTATCGTTTTTATGGTTTCCAATTCTTGTCTTCTTTCAGATACCTTTCCCGTGCCTCACAGTGTTTTAATGACACAGAACCTAATGAAAACAGCACTTTGTTGGCTACTGGCGAAGCCTTTCATTTGGTTAATTTAGTAGACAAGAAAATAGGCGGCAAACAATGGGAGCTGGTTGGTTATATAACGGTAGACGGACTAACTGACCTAAAAACTGTTCTGTGGCCGGGGAATACGATATTTGGCCCGTCGTCTAATAAAGAAAGAACTTACCGCGTTGTTACAAAGCCCGCAAAACCCTTTGTTTTTATTAATGGACCTGTGGCCCACCCGTCTACCTGTTACTCTGATACGCCCTGCATTAAACTAACTAACAGTACCCCACGCCATGTTTCTTCCATGATAGAAGATTTTATAACCACGAGGGATTATATGAACAAGGGATATGATGTCCATTGTTGTACGGGATTAACTATTGAACTTCTCCTTAGATTGTCTTTGGATATGAAATTTGAATATGTGATATATTTCCTAGATGATACTGACTATGGAAGTTTTGCAAATGATACGTGGACCGGTATGGTTGGCGACATTGTGAACGGAGCAGCAGATATAATTGCAGGTGCTTTTAGTGTAACGTCCTCGCGGTTGACTGCGATATCCTATTCCGAGCCTTATTTCCAAAGTGACTATGCAATGGTGACTAGCGTCGATGGACGTTCGACGTCTATGTGGGCTTTCTTAAAACCATTTTCCTTTGAAGTGTGGATATGTATTCTACTGAGTTCTATTGCTGCGGGTATAGCTACCTCAATTCTAGAGTGGCACAGTCCATTTGGATTAAATCCAAGGGGACGGAAGCGGGACAAAAACTATGGTTTAGGTTCAGGATTGTTAATGGTGTGGGTATTGATTACAGGACATACCATCAATGTAAAAGCCCCCAAAAGTTGGCCTGGAAAAGTTATACAAAATGTTTGGGCTGGTTTGGCTATTTTTATAATGACGAGTTATACTGCTAATTTAGCTGCTTACCTGGCCGGCCAATCCGCGGTCATACTTATATCAAGTATATATGACGCAAAGGTAAGCAAGCATATTTACTTTATTAGCTTTAAGTGCTACCCTTTCTCCGTTAACTACAACGAATTAATTATATGTAATCCAATGCTCGAGCATGAACATAATGCACATCACAATATATAGCTGAGGTACGAGTATGTTACTGCATATCAATAGAAACGCGTAAGTGGAAGAGAGAAGATGGGGTTCAACGTCCACTCAACACAAATTAGGTCATTTCGGGATCGAAACCATGCTACTTAACTCAATGACAGACCTAATGATCTAAAGCGCACTTATAGATGGCAATTAACATAAAACACACACCTATATTTCAGTAAAACTCTGTTTAGACATACGTTATTATCAAAAATAATATCATTAATTTCTAAACGAAATCTCTATATATAGGTTCTTAATCTAGAACTGTCTATAGAGACTGTGTGAAATAAACAGATTTTAAGCAAGTCTTTGTTCTTCGGAGCATGTCTTTGAATCCATTCTAACAGAGCAGATAATAGAGGAATCAGAGATCAAATAAGCATTATTGATAACGGATAACGATTTTATTGACCAGCCGAAAAAGTTAACCTCAAAATTCAACAAAGAGTTCCAACACATACAAAATAAATCGATTGGTCATCTTTACTCTTGTTATTTTGGTTCTATCTTGTCGATCATAATTAATAGTTATCTTCATACAACATATAGGCGAAAGATCGGGCAGGGAAAAAACAACGTGTAATAAATATACGGAAATATGTCATTGTGAAATAATACAAGAAAAGGTACAGCAAAGATTGCTAGTTTCTCAGCGTTTTTGACATTTAAAATTATAAACTAATGACATGTGAATTGCTCTTCAAAATATTTAATGCCTGCCATTTTCCATATTTATTTTAAACAGCAACAATCCGATTTTTTTAAATTCTACTTTTTATACCCCCACATTTTCATGTGGACGTATATTGTCGTCGCTTCTGTCTATCCGCCCAACATTTGTTTTTGGACGGTCTATAGGTCTCAGTTTTTATCTGGTTTTGAAGAAAATTGAAATATAGATTTTAGCTCCCAAGGATCTCGGTTCCTTTCGATATTGGCACGTATCGGACCGTAACTTAACATGGATTATGGCCCCTGATTGTACGAAAAATCACGTTTTTAGCTTGTGGACACTCTAGAGGTCACAATTTTATCCGATTTTGATGAAAAACAGATCTCAGTTTCTTTCGATATCCGTGCATATCGGATCGTAACTTCCTGGACTATGGCACCTGATTGAACGAATAACCGCATTTTCAGCGTGTGGTCGCTCTGGAGATCACGCAGTTTTTATCCGATTGAAAAAAAAACCGTTTGAATATACCACCGTTACACCATAATGAAGGCTGAAACTGCCGGACAAAGTGGCCTATCCCTGTACGCAAACAATGTTAAAGTATGTAATACCAAGGTTGTGGACCATCTAGAGGTCACAATTTTTATCCGATTTTGAGAAACTTTAAACGTGTTTATATCCTAAAGATCTCTGTTCCTTTCGATATTTGCGCATATCGGACCGTAAGTTCCTTGATCATGGCTCCTGATTGTGGACACACTATACAGGTCACAATTATTATCCGATTTAAAAATATCACCGTTACACCCTGATGATGATTGAGTTCGAATTTCGTAAAAATCGGACTGAAACTGTTCACAAAATGGCCACTCCTTGAATGCTAATATTGTAAAAGTATGTAATACCAAGGTTGTGGACCCGCTAGAGGTCACAATTTTTGTCCGAATTTGATGAAACTTGAAATGCATCTCCCAAAGATCTCAGTTCCTTTAGATATTTCCACATATCAGACCATAACTTCCTGGATTATGGCCCTGATTGTACGAAAAATCACATTTTTAGTTTGTAGATCCTCTAGAGGTCACAATTTTATCCGATTTGAAAAACCGTTTAAATATATCAAAGTTGGACCCTAGTGCAGGTTGAGACAAAACTGCCCGTCAAAATGGCCAAAGATATTCCATATTCTCAGTCCATTTCGATATTCGCTAATTTCAGACCATAACTTCCTGGATTATGGCTCCTGGTTGTACGGAAAATCGTGGTTTAGATTTTAGCTTGTACTCTATTCATCTCTTGCAAAATGTGGGCATATCTTGCTTGGCAACCGCTGGTTTAATAATATTGCTAACAAATATATTGCTAAGAGGAGACATTTTTGACAACAAGATCCATCAACTCGGATTCAGATACGTTATCATATAAGCTTTCTACCAAATTTCTGAGACGATTGAAATCTTTATCCACAATTGATTGAAAATACTCGAAGATTATTTACATTTTTAAAGGGCCGATCTAAGATTTTACATGATTAACCTAGATATTGTTGATTTTAGACTTTAATACCAAAGGTCATAATTTAAAAAAGGAATGAGTTTAACCTGGTTAGAAAGTTTTAAATCACAATATTCAGCATTTGCAAAATAATAGCCAAAGTGGCTTAATGGGCTCATGTAATTGACATATAGGGTATAGGGTTGGCGTCCATTGTGTAATTGCGTAGTCTAATATTATTAGTTATAAACGCGAAATTGTAGATATGTTTATTTAGACAACAGTATAGCTTGGTTAGTGGATACTGATGGATAACCACGTTTGAGGAAGTTATGTTTCTTCCAAAAAGTTTCATAAAGGTTCTGATAGTTGCACGTTTTCATATTTATTTCATTAAAATATATGCATGTCCGCTCTTTTAAGACATAGTAAGTTTTCTCTTTGTTACTTTCATAAAGTAGTCGATGCCAGCTAAATACCCATTCCCACAGCGATCTAATGAATGAAACGTCAGTAGACCGGACGAATGTGCTTTATCAACAAGACTCGTCAAACCATATTTTATTCAATTGATGGCAGAGGAAATCGACCGTTCATATTCATTACTTATCATATTCCGAACGTTTGTATTAGTTTGTAAGGAAAGATTATTCTTAATTTTTTTTCTAAACACTGACAGAAATCTTATTAAATGCATGTTTTCTCATTTCTGTTACAGTTGCTGTCAAAGAAAGTGGCTTTGATTGAGTCGAGTTCCGTAGAATTCCTTCTTAATATCATCAACCCAGATCTTATCAAAAATGTTAGGCACAACTACATATCGTCAACTGACGAAGCCATTTTTATGCTACGGTAAGATCATCAAAATGACAGATTTGTTGTTGGAAAGACAGGTTTTATCGATTCAAGCGTCTTTCGATATTGTTCTAACTCTACACAAACATGTACCTTAAACGCACTTTGCAGACCCTGTTTTGAATTTGATCTATTTTACCGCAGTGCGAGAAGTTATTTCTAAATCTGAAGTTGTTATAAGTACCTTGTTTGTTGTCTTGTTTCCATATTAAGGAGAATCATGCTCATTTCTTCTTTGAAGTGTGTGTATATAAGTTTCAGAATATTAGTAATGTTGTAATTGAGCACACAATGACACGTTGTTGCTAGTGGTCATATAATTACTAGGACAGCGGCCCGTGATTCGTGATAAGCCCACGCATAAGATGGCGTCTTGATAGAGGTCAAGAAACAAAATAATTTTAAAACTGCTTAAGACACGTCGTTAAGAAAACACTGAAATTTTCGGACCACTAAACTATTTCCATGACTTTATTTTCTAATAAATGGGAATAATCAACGTTGTATAAACTAAACAGTCGGCAACTCTTATTCGTTTAAAAGACACAATAAACTACAGAAAAATGCGGTGTTTACATTCGGCAGTCGGTAACTCATATTATTTGTACACTACAAAACAATACGGTGTTTACATCTGGCAGTCGGTACCTCTTGTTCGTTTAAAAGACACGTGTAGTACTATCAGATCTCCAATCTTCAATATTCAATCTTCACGCTGTGTTTTCTTCCGTGACGAAGTTACAACTACAGTTCAGGTTCTTTTCTTAAATATTTTATTTCTACAAACTGGAAGTGTTACACACAATTCTTCCTAGTCTCAAATAACTAAATGGCTTTTATGATTGGCGGAGTGAGCTCTCTCGAATGCTATTTCCCCACCTTATTTTATAGGTGCACATTCCTTTGTCTGGGGTGTAGGCTAATTTGAAATTTTCCACTCACGTGTATTTCAAACAATAACAACTTATCCTTGAAAGATGCAAATGACCAATATGTTTACTGAACTCCAACTGGTTATGAACTTAGAATCAATAATTTGTAAAGATAATGCTATTGTTCCAGCCCTCATATTTCTCCATTCTTGTCTTTAGACCGCATGTCTTGTTATTGTCGCAATATTTCATAAAAAATTTTAATTTGCGTTTCAGAATTAACTTATACCCTAGCTAATATTTTGAAAATGGAGAATAATTAATCAAAACCATAATATTATTTTACATAGATGTTTCTTAGCACAAATTCTTGACCTCCATATTACTACACACATTGTGCTACAAACAACACGGTGTTCACTCGCCAGCTGGTAAATCTCATTCGTTTAAAAGGCACAATTATCTATTTAACAACAAATTACCCTCATTCGTTTAAAAGACACAATTAACTATTAAACAAGGAACCCTCATTCGTTTAAAAGACACAATTGACAATTAAACGCCAAGGCATTCTCATTTGTTTAAAAGATGCCATAAACTACTAAATAGCAAGGTATTCTTATTCGCAAGTCGGCAACTCTAATTCCTTTGAAAGAAATACGTCTAAGATTAAACACGGCACAGCTTATTGTACGACGTGTACAATATGGTAAGTCGAAACGTGTCGAGGATTCAACTTTCTGATTTACAGATTTATAATTTTTTTTCATCTTATTTAGAGATCGAGAAATAGACGTATACGTTGATGATACGCCGTTGTTACAATATTCAGTAGCTAGATTAGATAAAGATTGTGCTGTCAGATTTGTGGGTAAAGGATTCGGGTCGGATGGATATGCTTTCGGTTTACCCAAATTTTCGTGGTTACAGGTATTTATTATTCATAATATTATTTAATGCTTCAAAGAACGATGTAAGATTATATTTCCGAAGCAGTCGTAAGGAGCATTATCAACTCATTAATCATTGCCACATTTTATTGTAATTACGGACTATAATTATCATTGGACTACTAGGTTCGCTTGAGGGCCGATATAAGTAGTCAATACCATGTCTGGGGTTTCTAGTTAGTACTTTTGTTAAACCTATGCCTATAACTATTATGCATAACTCAAGCGAGAAATCAATTAAGCTTTACGTACATATATAGTTCATTTCAACCCGAGCAGAATCGGTAGAAAAATTGCGAGTTGAAATCTAGTGCGGTCCTTCTGTGCTTACTGTTGGAGTTAGAAACGACAAGACAATAATACTCGCAACTGTTACTTAAACAAAATGCTGAAGAACTGTATTTTAGAGTTGATACAAAACAAAATCTGAAAATGACACTAGCTTTAAGACCGTAATATATTCATGTATAGTTTTTAATTCTTAAAATTTATTTCCAAATACAGGTTCCATTATCGAACAAAGTACTAGAGTATGCTGAATCAGGGTTTGTCAATGACCTCAGTAGCAAATATCTATCCAGACCTAAATGTGAACATTATTTAGCCACTAGTCCATTTCAATATAGCCTAGAACATACAGGTGGATTATTTATTATATTATTGAGTGCTGTGGTCACTAGTATATTATTACTATTAGGAGAACATATGATTTATAAATATGTGGTACCCTGGTTAAGAAATAAACCACAAGACAGTAAATGGATCGGAGAACATCTGTATTTCTTTAGTCAGGTGAGTTAAAATTTGGGTTAGTATTAAAAGGTGGGGCTGATATTAAAAGATGGGTTTAATATTAAAAGGTGGGATTAATATTGAAAGGCGGGGTTCATATCAAAAGAGAATTGTTAGTCACGTTAATCTGGAACAATTGTGTTGAAGGCCACTACTAACATGTTGTACGATTTTATTTTTCAACAATCATCTGGCAGGTATGAGGTGATTAGCAGTTATAGGAAACCTGAGGACCCGGAGAAAACCCATAGGGCTGAACAGGCGACCCTACTCCTTGAGATAGCAACCACGCCATTTGAGTCAATGACAGGTCAAAAGAGCACGTATTAGACCACTCGACCACCCGACCACCCAACTAGCTAGTTCTATTTTGGGAAAAAAACCCAACATAATTACAAATATTAAAAACATTTCAGCTTCTTTCTCTCTCTCTCCTTCTTAAATGTCAAAGAAAATTCAAAATAACAGAACGGGGGTAATTATTTTAACTCTTAAAAAATAATACGAATAGAGTTAAACATTAAATTGGCTTAGCCTTAAGGCGGATTTCTTCTTCTTTCTCTCTCTCTCCTTCTTAAATGTCAAAGAAAATTCAAAACTAACAGAACGGGGGTAATTATTTTAACTCTTAAAAAAATAATACGAATAGAGTTAAACATTAAATTGGCTTAGCCTTAAGGCGGATTTCTTTTAGTTCAATTCTTAACACTGTAATTGATAATCAGTAATCCATCTCTATTTTTTATGTATGGTGTTCCTGAATATATTTTATCTTTCTTGTAGAGGTTGTCACGTGTTGTAAAAAGTGAAACGTTATATTCTCAGAAACACGCCGCCCAGGAAATGATGACTATAGTTAGAACTGGAGACTTTACTAGATTAATACAGAAACACGAACTACAGAAAAGAGTAAGTTATTTCTTCTACGAAAGAAAGACATACGATCTGTGTACATATTGATAGTGCATTGAAAACGTGACCGTTGGAATTCGAACAAGAGTGGACGGGATCGCCATTTTCCCCCTCCTTTTGCACTCATAGAACATTAAAATTATTTTATGCTAACTTTAAAACGACTGAAATATTGTATTCACGACACATAAAATCCAGCTCTAAAAATGTGGGGAGTCATGGAGACTCAGTGAGTAATGTGCTGGTTCCCTAAAACACAGTATGGCGTTAAACCCCATTTCATTGATTTATTATAAAAATGTGAACCTCAGCCATACGTGATCACAGCACTGTCCCTATATCTGTATTGGGTTGCATTACAACGTCTCTGAAAGAGTTTTGCCATTGAAGCAGACAAACGTGGGTCAGCCTTAATGGACAGATCGCAATAATAAGCAAGGAGTGATTTAAATTTGAAATTCAATTATTAATCTGATTTTTTTTAACGACTACGTGCAGTTTAAACGTTTTAAAATCTTTATGGGTTTATTATATCCTTTGTAGAAAATGCCACCACCAAAGAAGGAGAAGACAAGGGCGCAAATGTTTCAAGAATTAACTTCAAATATAGTCAGGTATGGATATCAATTTGATGAATATTTTATCTATAGGGGAGCCGCAGTGGCTCCGTGAGTATGGCGTTGACTCACTAACCAGGAGGCCCGGGGTTTGATCTCGGTGTTGGCCGGGCCAGTTTGCATGGATTTTCCGGCGTATTTACCCCTTGTCAGTGGTGTAGGGCAGGGAGTAAGGAGGGTATCTAGTCGTTCGGATGGAATAGAACCCTTGACCGTTGAAATTCGAAATAATTAAGTGTAGACCGTAGCAAAATATCCCTTAGAGCACACCTTACCCTTTGTCCATCTTCATTAGCCCAGTCGGTGCACAGCAGTAGGACGTTAAACCTCACTAGTGCACCCAGTACTTCACAAATGTAAAATTTAGTTTTTTTCTGTTTATGCAATAATTTAGTAAGCTATATTTTACTTATACTTAAAGCATATCATTTAGTCAAGCAACAATCTGATTAAAATACAGATCTATATTTCGTTTCTTTTTTTTATACTTTCGATGGCCTACACTACATGAAGATCTGACAAGTTATAGCGATAGGTCACGTCAGGGGTCAAAAGACGGACTTATGACCCTAAGACGTCAGACATTTGATTATCCAATCAGCATTGATGTTACTAGTGGATTACCCACAGTTCCGTGAAAAACACGCCTAAAGCTCGTCGTAACAGACCGTTTCATTGGCTTATCCCTGACACCATTCAGAACACGAGTTAAATAACAACTCTTCCAGATCCAAGTGTAGTAAAGACAAGTAAAACGAAATTTTGAACTATAAAAACGAAACGAAATAAGATCTGTGTTTTAACCAGATTGGTTAAACAACGTCAGTTGTATTTTTCACTCAGATTGTTTAACATTTAACTAAGAAACGAGATCAAGATATCAACCGCTAGATACACACACACCCATCTCAGCCCCCAAGACTTGCTTTCAGTTATATTAAAAAAAATATCAAAGTTTTAAGCGACGGTTATCGGTGACTTGTTGTGAACAATAGCGCCCAAAGTATTGTTAAATGTAACACACTTTATCACCCAATAATACATTCTACAGTAGATATCGGTTGTGTGATATATTTCATAATCTACTGCGATTGGTCAGTTGAAAAGGAACTACCTTTTTTTAATTTTACTTATTAAAAGTAACTTTTTTTTATTAAAAATGAACTATTGTTATTCAATTGACCTTGATGGAAAAACTGGGTCAATATAAAGGACTTTGCAATGGTTGAATTGCTGTCAAAAAATGATGTATCACTACGCCGTAATGTTCAGTAAAAGTGAAATCTACAGCAAAGAATTATATTTATCTATTTGTGCATGCAAGAAGGGATTGGGTGATAAATAAAATCTCCTACTCGTCTTTTTTGATACTCAAAAAATATCAGCACTCGTTGATAAAGTAAAAAAAAACTCGGCAGAGCCTCGTTTTTTGTTACTTTATCAACTTGTGTTGATATTTTTTGATATCAACAAAAGACTGGTAGGAGATTCTCTATTTATCCCGTTTATATCGTCTGCAAAGGTTGCTGAATGTGGACAAATATTTACTTCATTACATCTCTGTAAATACTGAACGGAATTGAACCCTTTTAGACTGATATTCCTTTAAGGGTTCAACTTTCGCAATAATTTAGTTTGCAAGTGATTCGCCAAACATGCGGTATTTTAATATTATGGGTGAATATTAGATCAATTGGTCAATAGATTCTGCTTATTATTGAATTAATTATTAACCAAGTTCACCCCAAATTAATTAGATAAAATTACTGGGAATATTACATTTATATAGAAAAGATATATCAAGAGATAAGCGCAAAAAAATTACGCCTGAAGTAATCCAACTTTAAGCAATATTGTAAATCACATTTAAGTGGCGTGACGAAGATCAATAAGCGATAAAGTACGTCAATAATATATACATTGTACATGTGGGATCCATTTTAAATGTTATTAAATAATTAGTAGCTAATGGATCCATTTTCAGAAATGACGTAGAACATTACATAGCATCCCTTTTAAGTTTAATACCATGACAAACATGGAAAATAATCTATATGAGAAAATACTTTTAAAAGTTCCATTAATTAATCTTAAACTATACATGCAGTCTACTAAAAACAATGGATGTGTTAGCTAGGTAACGGTATACTTTTTTTTTTCAAAAAATGATAACAAGGACGGCTTCCATTCACGACAAGCATACTATTTGCAGAAATTTTTTAGATGGATGTGTTGATTGATGTATTTTCGGTTCATGAAGTAGTTCATCCAAATACTGATTCTACAATCATAGATCAATACGGTGTCCTATAAATATTTAGATACATGTTCATTTTATTGAATTGTAGTTATAAATATTGAATATAGTCTATTAAGATCGGGGTATAGGGTACACACAAAATGTCAATACATTGTTAAAGGCTGTGAGCGCATATGAGTCCTGCAGTATAGATTAGCGTTGAAAAGCAAACATATGGCATTATCGTTATCCAGTTTCATTGGTATTGAGGTTGAATAGTTACGTATCATTTTTTCTTTATGTTTAGTTAAACAGAAATATATACCACGACAAAATACAAAATATTAAATGAAATTTTAAATATGAGCAAAGTGATCTGTAAAACTAAATACCTGACACCATCATCCGCCATCAATATCAGCGTTTTTTAAAAAAAAAAAAATATAATTGTATAATCTTATTTTAGAGCACGACCCACCCCACAAACGTGATATTGCTATCAAGGTATCAACAGGATGTTTATAGACAGTTATACTCTATATGTAATATTGGTTTATGTTTATATTATATTCCAGTTATCACCGTCAATTAAAAACTGACACGTCCGAGGAACATTCAGAAGAAGAGGTGGAAGAAACGCGTGTCGACCCCGAAGAAATATCAGCAGAGGTTCACGTTGAAGACGAAGACGAATCTAGTGGTGTCGCTAACCTAGGATATCGCGAAGACGAAGCTGACACTTCGGATGGTGATGAAATATCAATAGATCTAGTAGAAAGCCAAGCAAATAGCCCCCAACGCCGTCCATACCAACGATTATGCAAGCGATACTCAACGTGGCCGTCCGGATTAGTGGTTTATGCAGATACAGGAAAGGTTTCGCCATTTAAAAAGCAGGTTTCAATGTCGGCGGGTACGAGTCCGACGACAGAACCAGAATCCCCAAGTAAGATTTGGGTGATATCAGACGGTCGAGTTCTTGACGATCGTGTGCACTCCCCGCGCGTGTCTCCTGCTCGGAAACTCTCCGATATAGGTGTACCACGAAGTAGTCATACACGTGATGAACCAAATAATGCCAAAAGAAGTAAGAGTTACGATCACCAACAACCTGATTATTTTAAAAGAAATTTGAAGATGAAAGACAATCGAGTGAAATCCACCATCAGAAGACACGCATTGTCTGGCTATCAATCACAAATACCGGTGGATTATCTGGATGAATGTACCATTGATGCTCTTTCTAAGGAAGACTTGTTGATACTGTGGAAGAAATCTGAAATTGAGATGCAAAGACGTCTAAATGAAGTAAAAGTGAGGAACCGGAGACTTTCGTTGGCTATAGATTATCTGGTCAAGCATCAAGGGGATAGTGAAGGTGCCGAGGAAGTCTGAAGCGATTTGTGCGACTTTATGGTACACTTTAAAAGAACTTTGGGATTCAAAACCCAGAGCTACTCAAGTGCTCCCAAAAAGCACCATTTGAGATTTTGTGATGGGTTAAAGAAAATGTATTCTTTGTTCTTAAACATTGGTGTTTGTGTATTTTCTATTTAAAAATATAATAGAATTCACTTGTTGATTATGAATAATGATAGAGCATGAAAGTTTGTTTTTTTTTGGAGATTTTTTGGTCCATAATGTGACCAAAGGGGTGGCACACCCGTTTCTTGGCCATGTCATTAGATTAGAAGAAATCACCATTAAAATTGTTTTGGATTCTTTTTCATATTCGATACTTGTTGGTATACTTACTTTCAATCACCAGTCATTTCCATATTACTAGATTACATCGCCACCTTCTCGTGAATTGCATGGTGTAAATTTTGTGCATTGTTTTGTGATCAACTGTAGAAATAATTGATTTTTAAAATTACACTCAATATTATTCCCTTTTTATCGAGTGTAGAAGCATTAAATTCATGGTCGTTTTGCATTTGGCTATATTCCCACAACTTCGAATTCATTCTAGACCAATTTTTTAATGCATTAACGTTTGTCGTTATAATCCTACAATTTTTTATTTATTTTAGATTAAACATATAATTCTGTAACCTCATTTTGAAATTATAATATTTTTAATGCTGAATTGTTACTATTACCATTATCTCATTTTTATAACTGTTATCATCATCCTTTATTTAAACCACATTTTGCTGTGATTTGTTTCTGAGGTTATGCGTTCTCTATATTTTAATGGAAGGAGGTTTTCTTAATGTTATTTAATGGCAGTTTACTTTTGATATGAAATAGTATTTTAACCATTTTCATTATAAATAACCCTTGATTAAACTTACATTGTCAGACATCGTTGTTACTGATATCATATCTATAAATAAATAAATGTTTCAGAGTTTTCATACAAAACAATAAAGGATGTTATTATGTTGACATAATGTAATGGTAATTGATTCAATTGTTTACTTTATAAATAATAATGATAATAATAATAATAATAATAATGAATTTATATAGTGCCTTTCATCTAGAACTGTTGTACTCGATGGCGCTGAGCTGCACTGTCACGTTTGGTATTCACGATTAAATAAGTGAGTCTTCAAGGATGATTTAAAGAACTCCAATGTTCTGGCTTCCTTCAATGTTGCTGGGAGTTTATTCCATTGGATGGGTGCAAAAATATTTACAGATGTTTCATCAAGCTCTAAGAAAATCATTATTTAAATCGACGTGAGCTCATTTCCCGCCAATTTTACACCCCCCCCCCCCCCACCGACCCGCCTCCTCACAGGCAAACCTGCAACCCCCCACCCCACTTCGCCACAAATCAAAACTGTTGTCCTAGAAATTTATGTTTTATTAATATATAACGATAGTCCATTGGCCAATCACGCTATTTTACCGAGATTTCGCCTAATAGTTTGAATGCAGCTATGGCGGGCGTGGCGCCAGGCAGGGTAAGCTTACTCTTCCGGACACCTGTTACCACTGTTTGTCGTGTATTTTGTACATGATGAACAATCCATATGCTGATTACACTATTTTGCCTGATTACACTATTTTGCCTATACCGTTTTTTTAGGACTTCGAATTTTGTCTAATGGTTTGAATTGTTCGTACTTGGTTTTATTTATGATAATCATTTATGTCAACATAATGACATTGCCCCCCAGTTGTAGGTATTGGACGCCCTATATCTCGAAAAGGCCCCCTCGGAATCTATGCAAAAAACTGGTCTAGAAAAACTTGGTCTCATAAATTCACAGATCGGGTTGGGACCCCCCCCCCCCCCTTCAGCCACCGGACTATATCACCACGAGGACACTTTCAAAGTTTTTGGAACAATGTCGTGTTTGATGTTGATCGAGCTCTTTCTCCAATTTTGATTTGTAGAAGATCATTCAGGTAGACAAGAGCTAAACCCTGCATGCACTTGTAAGTGAGGAGGATCATTTTATATTGAATACATCTGTTTATGGGCAGTCAGTGAAGGGATTTGAGCACAGGTGTAATGTAGTCGTGGAGTTTTGTTCTGGTGAGTTCACTAACAGTTTAGTTGAATCTGTATCTAAAGACCACATAAGATGAAAAATCTAAATTGCATGTACGTATAGCCAATGACTACTATATCCACTTTACGTCAGTTCACACCAATCTGATTAAAATTAATTCGGCTATTAACGTTTAAGTATCCGACACGCCAAAACGCTTTTCAATTTTTCAATTACGACCTTAATCCGGTCGATTGGCTGGTGACGTCACAGGGACTACACATAATATATACATTATCTATACAATATATCACTGTATGTATAATATAACACTAGTCCCGAAATGACCTAGTTTGTGTCGAGTGGACGTTAAACCCCATTTCTCTCTCTACAATATATCACTGTCTATATACACCATTATCTATACAATATATCACTGTATGTATAATATATCACTAGTCCCGAAATGACCTAGTTTGTGTCGAGTGGACGTTAAACCCCATTTCTCTCTCTACAATATATCACTGTCTATACACACCACCTGTTGACAAGTGTGTATTGACGGTCCAATTAACATTTGTCTGGCCTAATCATGCCGTAGATCCATATAAAGTGCCATTGTTTAAATAGGCCACGTGACAAATGAAGATGACCCAAGCAATTTGCGCATTTACCAGTAATTTGGGTAACCCCGTAATACTTGATATCCCAAACTATTCTCTACAAGTACAGAAATATGGTGCCAGCCATTTGTCGATATATTCATTATTAGCTATATATAATAATAATAACCATTTCTATACGCAAAGAACAACTTTTATCGTAACCTATTTGAAATTCACAGCGAATATGGGATTTTCCGATGACTATGCATAACAATAGATCGCCCTCATTTCTCAGCCAATCAACGCCGGAAATCTTATTACCATATACGGTTCCATGCATACTACGGGCGTAGTAACTGAGGTTAAATTTTGGCGCGATAATTGCATGGAATTCATGGACATGAATATCAAATACACGTGATCATACGTGGAGTTCCTGATGCCGTTTAGTGAGTGATTAAACTGTCAATGTAATTGTAAAATACCTTTATTATAAAGAAGTTAAACGATGTTAGACATTAAAACCTAATGTTATCACGACCGTTTATCCATCGAATAATATATATTCAGATTTCATATCAAGTCAATTAAATGTTGTTTAAACGCCAATCAACAAATAATACGTGGCTACTTTATTACAAAAACATCGGTGAACAAAGTTAATTGATTATTGGGTAAATAATAATTATAAACAACTGATGAGTAAAACTTAATTATTTTATACAATTAACAAATGTACGATTCTACGATTAGTTGTCGTGTGGAGAAATGTTTGTAGAAAACTTCCCCCGTTAATTTTTTCGTTCGTTCGTGTGGTATTACGCACACGTTCAACCCAAATGTCATTAATCTGGCCGGCGTAAAAAAGATAATTACCTAATCAGCATTCTTAATCCCACATCGAGGTGTAAATTAATTTATGACCCCATGTCTGTGCAACTTTAGTCGGATTGATTAAACATACATTATGCAAGAGCTAAATCTGTCTATTGCAGGTCTTTCTTTAGGCCTGAAATGTTATATAAATTATTAATTAGACATTAATTAACCTATCCAGACCATAGTCAACTCTAGATGGCATCGCTAGCCTGCGATCTTTGGTGGATTATGAGCCGATGTACTGCATAACTTTCCTTCACGATTTAACGATTAAATGGATAACCGAGACTATGCTGTTTATCGTACTGACTTTAGTAATGATGATCGAGGCTAGGCGGTGATTTCAATCGCTTAGTTCTCGGTTCATAGTGGATCAATTTGAATGAAATTTTCAGCAAAGTGCCTTTACATTATTTAGTCTTTACCTATTATAGTGAGCACTGCCAACTCGTTATCGAATCTCCCATAATGTACCTTTAATTACAGATATTAACGACACTACACTTGCCATATTATGATTAATACACAAAGATATTTAGATGACCCTTCTCAATCTGTTATTCGATTTAGATGGTTAACAACAAGGTATAGTGGGGATATTTATTTCGTATTTCATTTTTACGGTCTATTTCAGAGTAAATGAAATGAAATGGGGTTTAACACCCTACTGTTCTGCTCCGAACTGGGCTAATGAAGACGGGCATACATTATACAGCGTGCTAGGAGGGAAATTTCGCCAGGACAGTGACACTACGACCTACTGTCAAGGGATCTTTTACGTGCACGCCAATGTGTACACGGGACCTCAGTTTTTCGTCCCATCCGACCGACTAGACAACTGTCCTTGTCAGGCCCTCCATCCTGCATCACTGACAAGGGGTAACTACGCCGGAAAATCTGGATGAACTTTCTCGGCCAGCGTCTTACCCACTTAGCCACCGTGATCCCCTATTTCAGAGTAATGAAGTCAAATCCACATGCAGAAAGAAAGGCGCAGTACGATGGCTACAGGAAAACGAGATACAGTTGGCTACTCTGATAACGGATCGTCATTTACAAATTGAGTTTCAATCATGTTTGACTTTTATGATACATTTTGCATATCCACATCTTTTTACTCCTGTACTCTTTTACTCCGGGAAATTAGAACCACAATACTATTCTGACGGAAATGTATCTCGAATCGTTTAGACTGCACACGATAGTATCAAAAAGTCACTTTAAAACACAGTTTTAAAATCGCTGCCTTAAGAAGATAGGGCGGGATATTTTGAAACAAATGCTAAATTGGATCATAAATTACAAAACAAATTATTCCGTAGTCAATTGTTTTATGTAATTAGGGGATTAAGTTCGAATCAGTCAGGCGTTAATGAATACACGTCGGCTGTATGTAGGTAAATAAGGAATAAACATTCCGAATATGCATTCGGTCACTGTGACGTTACTGGCATCTGAGGGGATTAGAGTGTTTTCGATAATTGGCAAAGCCGTTTTTACGGGAGGTCTCTTGTTGCAACTTTGAGTGAAGAAAGCCGATTAATTTTAATCCGATTGGTGTAAACTTGCTGTAAAGTGAATATAGTAACCATTGGCTATACGTACCGAAAAGTAATGTCGTCCATCTGATGTGCCCTTTAAGTATTTCCGTACCCGACCAATGTTGAACAGCTACAACTTGTTTGGACATATCCATGGTAGTGTTAAACATAACATCCAAATTTCTAGCAGATTGAACGGGCCTAATATCATCACTTCCAACATGAATGAGGTGCTTATTTAATGATGAAACACATGATGGTCAGAGTTGAGTTCAAGAAAGTTTGCAGTCATCCATACTCTTATGCTATCAATGCAGGTTAGAATTGCTATTAGACAGAGGTGAGTATCGTCTGCAAAAAGATGGTAGTCTACACAGTATTTGCAGATGATTTCACCAAGGGGAGAGGTATAAATAATAAATAGAATTGGTCCCAAAACCGATCCTTGGGGAATACCAAATTGGGCTGGATTAGATTTAGCATTGTCTACACATACAATCTGATTACGATTAGATAATTATGATTGAATAAGTCTTATAGCAGAGTCAGATAATTTTAACCTATATTTGGGTCTTTGAAGTAAAATATGATCACCAATAGTGTCGAATGTTGCAGATAGATCAAGCAAAACAGACAATATGACACACTTGTTGTCTATACCACGCAATACGTCATTACTCATTCTGACTAGTGCAGTTTTACAACTATGATTGTCTCGATATGCTGACTGAAATGGTTCTGAGAGATTTTCATGAGTTAGATGTTCTTTGAGTTGTTCAGCAATAACTTGTTCAGATATCTTTTGTAAAACAGTTTCAATATTTATGTCCTCTATGAATTGACTCAACTTGATATTTCGGCACTTCTTATATACTAATTCAGTTTTAGTAGGGGCTGG